TTTAAAATATATATATATATATATATATATTTTTTAAAAAAATGAAAAATCAAGAAATAGAATCAACATGACACTGATGCTCAAAAGTAAACACCAACAGCACAGCCGGTCCTCAGGGTTGCTAGAGAGGGCTTGAGGAGGTGGGGCCTAGGGATCGCTGCTCTGTGTTAGAAACTTAGGACACTTGTCCTTTCTCAACTATCTACTATATTATGTTTCTAACAATGACTTTTTTTTAATGGAAAGTGCGTATCAAAATCAGAATGACTTGATTAGCCCTAAACACCAGGTAACCCAGGCCTCCTGGGGCCAGGTGAGAGCCCTGAGGACATAACAGGTGAACGGAAGGGGGGCAGCAGTAAGAACCGACCTGGCAGAATAAACAAAACCGCCTCTCTGACTGCTGCCTCTGACTCAGCTCTCCCTGTGCTGGCATCAGTCACCTAGGGCCTCTAGAGCCCGCTGCTCCCAGCTCCCAGCCCCACACCTGACCAGACCTCTCCAGGAGAGTGACTCAGTCCCTGCAGCCTGCAAGGCAAATTGCAGATGTGTCTCTTACAGAGCCCATGGGGTTCTGAAGCCATTTCATTGCCCCAGAAATCCTCAGTTTTAGGGCAGAGGTGGAGGGTGGATCCCCCGAAAGGGTCTTACTGCTTCCTCGAGAGCTAAGGCTTCTCTGTGGGCTGGTCTGGGAAATAAGATGTCCTTTCTTTACAAAAATTCTTTCTGTGTCTCAAGAACCAATTTACAAATTAACTCTAGGAACTGAATCTTTCTTGGGGGGAAGAGAGGCCCTCTGCACCACCTATAAAAATCAGGGGGTGCAGGGCCCTCCCTGTGGCCCAACGGGTTAAAGTGCAGCTCTGCGAAGCTGGCGAAGCTGCCTCAGTACCGGCTCCATCCCAGCCAGGGAGCTGACCACATGGCGTGGCAGACCTCTCCTGTCTGGCCCGCTGCTCCCCTCAGCAGGTCAGTCTGCCTGTTCTGCTCCCCACTCTGTCTCTGGTGAATCCTCTCACCGCCCCTGCACCTCTGGGCCTACACCCCAGTTCTGGATGCATAAATAAATAAATCTTAAAAAAAAAATCAAGGGATGCAGAAATGAGTTGATTAGTCCTAAACACCAGGTAACCCATGTAGTCCTGAAAGAGGCGGTAGGAAAACTCATGAACTTCGGCCAGATTTGGTTTCAAAGCCCAGGCCCCCCACTTAGTACCAGACATCATGGGTACTGCTGTGTGCCCCAGTTTCCTCGTGTGTAAAGTGGAGGTGATGCCTCCTTGACAAAGTTTTCGAGAAAAGTAAAAACCTTACATACAGTACATGTAAAACTCCTGCCACTGAGAACAGAGCATCAACCCCCGCGGCCAGCTGTGACTCGGCCCAAGACACTCGGCCCTGGCCTGGGCCGCAGCACAGGCTCACGGTGTCCCACTGGGGGTCGTGGCGCTCGCCCCAAGTC